TACCACAATTGAAGCAGATTTGTTGCAGACCTTCATAGTCAATCTTTTGAATGAAGTCATCTATTCCCACGCATGAAATAAGAGGTTTGTTCATATCGATAACAACTACAATTCTTGCAAATTTCCCCCTCTCTCCAACTTTAGTATTATAATCAATTTTGATAACCCTTTCAATCGTATTCGCAATTGTTATGATTAACACTACATTGTAATACCTGTAAGGTAGTCCAGGTAGTCGCAGCTAGGTGATAACTTGTGAATGATGCTTTTCAAATGTGGTAAAGTTCCTCGACCATGGTTGAACAATCAGGTAACTTCCATATATCATCCAAGGGCCATCAGTGAGAACTCTATTATAGTCTTTCATATTTTCAAACTTCACTAGATAGTAGTCATTATCAAGATCTATTAAGTTGAAGTTGCCTATCGACATCCATAATGCCTGTATCCTGTTTAACAACGCTTTATATCCAATCTTTTTTCCCAGCAGTCTAGTGATAATAACTTGTTTCAAGTTTCGATCAATCAGATCATGGATTCGCTTTGAGAAGCTTATTCGAGGAAATTCTCCAGAGCTGTCCATGGTGACATCTCCTTCTTAGAATACTATATCTTCTTCAGGCATCTTGACTGGGGGATTCTTGTTTAGAATCGATCCCCTGGCAGCTATGGCAGCATAAGAGATTTTCTCAGGACTCTTGAGATGTTCTTTGATCGTAACTCCTTCTTCTTGGGAATCATCTTCAGTATGCATATTCTCCGTTTGTTGAATTGTTTCATCATCTTTAATTGTTAATTCTCGATTCTTTACTTTCTTTGTGGCTCTTTGATCTTCTTGGGCGCTAATGATGTTCATCTTGAGAGAGAATTCTTTATTTTCTATACTTTTTGTATAATGTGTATTTAATTGTGGTTGAGTAACATATTATTTTCAAATATAGTTTTCATATTATTCTAATCTTATTCGTTAATGATACTTAAGTGTATTAAACTTATCTTCCAATCTCGTATTAATTATTTTAGAATATATAACATATTTAAATGTAATATTATTAAAACAATACTCATTTAACTGTTTTACCAACATAACTCTTAAAATATTTTATTTTTAAGAATAACACCAACTTCAACTATACAGGATAAAAGTATTGTCAAATAAGTGTGTTTTATCAAAAGTGTTTTCACAAACGTCTTTGATTTACATGGTTGAGGTTGAGGAATACGCACTTTCATGTTACTGTGTCTTCTACTAAAATCATCCCAACACGATGACGTGAAAGCGTCTTCCTCTATCTCGGCCATGTAAGCCAGAAACACTTCTATACGGGATGCTTTTCATAAGATATGCTTATTTGGCAGTGTTTTTGTTTTATATGATTGAAGTGGATATAATCTTAGAATTAAAGATTTTTACGTGTTATTTTGATTATAAAAAATAAAAATATTATTTTTAATGATTTTACTATGCTTAAATTTACATTTTCTAAATCATTATAATAATTATAACATCGAACAAATTAAAATTCAATCTACTTATACTTGAATTTTTAGTTCATTATGCAATCATGTGATTTAAATAATAAACCAATAACAAGTCTAAGACAATTTAACAAAAGGAAAGGAGTGGGAATCTAAGGGGTTGTTTGTTTGCCTATTAATAGAATCATTCAGCGCTGAATGTTGAACCGTTCAACATTCAGCGCGTTTGTTTCGTACCTCTGAATGATTCAGTGTTGACTGATTCATCAAAACAATGCTGAATGATTCAGCACAGAAGTACATTCTGAATGATTCAGAGCCATTATAAAACATCATGTCACATTCATAGCTAATTCATACAGAGCCTCTGAATCATTCAGTATTTGAATCATTCAGTATTTTAATCATTCAACGCTTAATCATTCTGAAATAAACAAACAACGCCTAAGTCAAATGGTGGTTGAATATAAGGAGCAGTAAGATTGTTAGCCATTAATTTTGGACCTAATTTTGATAGACGTTGACTTTGAGTAGTTGTGTGGGAAAAACATTTATTTTTATCATAATTTATTAATCGATCCAATAAATGGGTTCTATTTATGCACGCAAATGAAAAAAGTATATTATTTAATACATAGCGATTTTCCATAAGTAGGATTATAATTATACTCAGTATACTTGGTACTCTTTTAAAATTTTAAAAAGTAAATAAACGAGACTCAATTACCATTTTAGCTATATTTATAAAATAATTCCTCTGCTAATGTATTTGGTAGTAATCCAAAGTTTAAAGGTGAGAATTAGTTTGTATAAAAAAAGGGTGAGAATTAATTGTATAAAAATGTGAGAATTAATCGACAATTAGTTATTTAGTAGGATGATGTATTAGATTCTTTAAGTAAGATTAAATATTCAAAAATTGATATTACAAATGAAGTAAATTAATTTGCGAGAATCCTGATCTAGATTAGTGGATTAATAACCGAATAATAATATATTAAATTATCGATAAATGTTTATTAAAATTATCAAGAAAAAAATTCTAAAATTTTTATTCGAATTGAAAAATGGGTTACACAAAATCCAAGCTTTAAGCCCATTACAAAATTCGGCTATATATTACTCAAGAATCCAAATATCCAATGTACTATTAGCTAATGTGTTGTAATATGAGACCAACTGACAAATGCTCAATTTTTTTTTCTTTCTTTAATCTTATTCGGTGAGCTGGAATTGTGAGTTGAAATTCAAGCATCTTTACTACTAGCTAATGAGTTGGTATCCGAAGAAGAAAATCAAAATCTCCACATTTCCTTTCCTTGAGCATCTAATTAACTATGTACATCTATCATTTATTTATTTTTTAAAAACGTTAATTAAAATCGAAAAACCATTTAATTAACTATTAGCCATGAAATGTATGTTGGGTTGTTTGCAGCAATGAAAAAATCATTTAATTTTTGGGGATTGTTCTATCATTTTATATAGATCAAATAGTTTGGAAATCTATACCTATAATTAAAATAGACTCCTCCCTTTAACAACCAATTTTTGTATATAGTATGTAAGAGATACTACGTCTCTCTTCTCTAACCAGCCAACTTTTTCTTTTTCCAAGAGACAATGAATTCACATATTGAAATTAAAATATTTATAATTTAAATCCTAATAATAAATAATTTGGACTATAATACTTTAACTTTGGTATTTTTTTGAAAGAATAATTTATTAATAATAAGTAAATATAGAAAAAAAAATATTTGAAAGAAAAAAAAAATGAGAGGTGAAGAGAAAAACCATGGTTGATATTATAAGTTTCTTCACTAGAAAGTCAATTTTCATAAATTCAAGTTTTTATTAATTAAAATGATTTATTAATTTTTTAATTTATGAGAAAGATATAATTTAAATTATTAATAGCTGAAAATGAAGCCTTATTAATAGGTGATGAGTGGCAGGTGGATTTTACCTAAAAATATGGCAGAATATGAAACCAATGTAATTTTGAAAAGGTAAATTACATAAATAGTCATCTATATAAGATATTTTTATTTAATCCTCCAACTATATAAAATTATAAATTAGTCATCCGACTTAAAAATAAAAATTTAGCTGTTTTCCATAAAAAAAAAATAACATGATGGTTAATAAAACTGGTATAATAATAAATTTTACCTTCAAACTTTCACACTTTATTTTAATTTCATATCAATTTTTTAAAAAAATAGCCTTAATATTTTAGTATTTTACCAATTTAGTCCATTTGTGATTTGACGATGTATCTTCTGCTGGCCTTTCTTTCGTGTCGTTCCTCAATCTCAGTGTTCCAGTTATACCCATATTCACGACTTAAATGTTAGAAAATGGACATTTTAGAAACTTTAAGGCATATTTTCAAGAAAAGTGGAAGTTTAAATTATAAAATTATGTTTTTATATTATATTGCTTGAAACTTTTTATAACAGTATATTGTATGCTTAAAATGGTTGGGTTATAAATTAGAAATTGATGCTCAAGATTAACTACTTGTGAATTATGTTGAGAAAAATAAAAAGTTTATATCCTACTAGGGATGAACTGAAACGGGACGGTAGCCCCTGAAAATTTTAAATTCTTTTATATTTTAAATATTTTTTATTAAAAATATATTTTTGGCTCATTCTTAAAATTTTATAAGTTTACCTCATAATATAAAATCTTGCATCAGTTCATGTATCCAACAATGGTGGGATACTAAGTGTCGAAGGTGTTTATATGCATAAACCAACTCAGGTGTTGTAAAACGTGCAAGACAAGACTCTACGCGTAGGTACATTAGTGCAAATCGATTCGAATTTAGGTTTTTAAACCTTTCTTTAATGGCAAAGTAGCTTACTAATGACAAGATCTAGATTTTTCTTAGGATTAGAATGAAACAAAAACTACATACATATTTAAAGGATCAAAATATAATGATTTGAAATTTTTTATGAATCTATTGATAGTTTACGATAACAATTAGAGTGATGATCAATCCCGACAAATAATAATTAGAATTTGAGTTGATATTTATGGAGCTAAAAAGTTAAAAAAAAAAACAAATCAATATAAAAGTATAAAAGTAATGGTCGAGTGACCAAATAAAAATAATTCAAAAATGTAATGTTTAAATTAAAATCTTTAAGTTTTAATGACCAAAATAAAAAGATGAAGAAAGTTTATTCTTCCTTAAATACCACCTTGTAGAAGGATTCTCAAATTCAATTTTACATTAATTTAAGAAATTATTTTTAAATTTCAATTTGATAAAAGCGAGGGAAGCAGGAGAAATTAAACATAAAAATTTAATTTCGAAGAAATCAAAGCTAAAGATTTGATTGTAACACCAGATTTATTTCCAACTAAATCCACCCATCAATTAACTTTTCTTTAAATAATAATTCAATATAGATGACGTGGAACGTTGACTATCACTCTTTCTATTCCCTTCTCATCTTTTCCCCCACACAATGGCGGCCTAATTTGTCAATACGACACCGCTTCCATTTCTACCACAGTAGAAAGTTTTTGTCTAAGCCATTTCCTCTCCAAAGATCACAACCCGACTCAGTGGTGACCCGGTGGCTTACGACTACATTGATTCTTTATTACTTTTATCCTTTTTTTCAGTGGAGAAATTCGTAAAAAGCGAAGAATCCGATAAAAACCAGCTGAAGTCATACAAATCTAGGGTTTTTATAAGGTGATCGGGCTTGGAAGATGGCGAGTCCGTTCACGCAGGGAAGTAGTAGGGCGTTGTCGATCACTCCTGGATCTAGGGCTTTGAAGAGTCCTCTTGGTGACGAAACGATCTGGAAGCGGCTCAAGGAAGCTGGATTCGATGAAGAATCCATCAAGAAGAGAGATAAAGCTGCTCTAATTGCGTATATTGCGAATCTTGAAGCAGAGGTTTGCTTCAAAACTTTTAACTGATCTTCTCAAATTATTTTCATGATTGTATTTCTTTTTCTTCTTTTTTGGTTTTTGGTGCTATACTTAAAAATATATTTTGAACAATTAAATTGTGTGCTGTAAAGATGGATACAAAAAAACATCATTAACGACTTCAAGGGTTTCAGCTTGAGTAAAGCTTCAAATCAAAATTAAAATGATATATGCAAGTTCACTTCGAAAAATATAGGCAGGGGAACTGATCTTTAACATATTTTAGCATAATGATTTTTAAAAGTGTTTCAGTATTTTTGATTATCTGATATATGAGGTTAATGTTCAATGTTGAACTACCAAATTAAGTCTTGAACATTGCTTCGGGTTAGAACTTCTGTATTTCACTTAAATGCTAATTTAGTTGCATACTACGTGTTCTCATTGTTTGAACTTTGATGGAACAAACTTGATTATTTTACCTATCAGTTTGCAATTTTTAATTGACTTGTTGTTTCCACTCTGGTAGCCATTAGCTGGTTGGTGTTTTGGGCATGCAAATGACATCATTGAATCAAGTTGTAGGTTTATAAGAGCTTTTGGGAGCATTTATTTTGTATCTGTTTCATTGTTTTTGGTTGGCTTTTTCTCGTCTGCCATTATTTTGGGATTTAGTGTTTCTATATGGAAGTTTTTCCTTGTAAGTATTTTACTTGTTAGCGCCAATGGATGGCACATTATTAAGCTGTGATCTTTACCTCGCTTGATGCATAAATGACTGCTTTGTACAAAGGATAAGAGTGTGGATTGGTGGTAATCTTGGTTTAGCAGATGATGATTCTTTCGTTGTTCACATGTTGCTTATAAGTTCATGTTGTAAATCTTTAATTCATTATCTGCTTCTTGTCGCATAGCTGCTAACATATTTAATATATTTGTTTATTCTTTTATGTAGCTCTCTGACCACCAACACCACATGGGCCTTCTTACATTGGAAGGAAAGGAGTTAGCTTCCAAGTATGAACAAATTAAAGCCTCTGCTGAAGCAAGTGAGCTAAGGCATAAGCGGGATCATGCTGCACATATATCTGCTCTTGCAGAAGCAAAAAAGCGTGAGGATGGTTTGAAGAAAGCTTTAGGAGTTGAGAAAGAATGCCTAGCTAGTGTATGTATATTATTTAGACTCTCTCTATCTTGTATTTATTTTCCCTTTTTGCTTATCTTTCAGCATCTTTACACATTTCTTTGGACTTTGTCATTGGATTTTATAGATTGAGAAGGCTTTACATGAGATGCGTGCAGAGTCTGCTGAAACTAAGGTTGCAGCTGAAAGTAGATTAGCTGAAGCACGCATTATGATTGAGGATGCTGAGAAAAAAATTGCAGAGGCTGAGGCAAAGTTTCATGTCGCAAAGTCTTTACAGGCAGAAGCTACCCTCATCCAACGCGATGCTAAGCGAAAGCTCCAAGAAGTTGAAGCACGTGAAGATGGCCTTTGTAGACGTATTGTATTGTTCAAAAACGAGTATGTCATATGCATTGTGTTTTCCTTCTTCGTGTTGTTTGTACTGTAATTCTTTTTTTATTGTTTCTCTGTTTTTTCCCTATCAGTTTGCAGTTGACTAGGAGAAAGTACTTGTGCTCTATGTATCTGATCTTTATTCATACGATGAAGTCTTTGCTGTGCTGGATTGCAATATGAATTAGGTCTTGTAATGAAAAGTTCCTATAGATAAGAATCTACAGCCTGATTGATAGTAATTTATTTAAATTGTTTATATGATACAGACATGATTGAATTTCCTGTTGCTGAAACTAAGCAAGTAAAAACTAATTGGCTGTGTCAGGGTGGTTTCTGCAGAAACGTGCATGCATTGTTACATTTGTACTGTTTGCTGATGATAATATAATTCCTGCAATAGTTTTTACCATGATTTCAGATCGTGCAAGAAGTCTATAAATTCAAATGAATTTTGGTTCGATGAGTGTTAATTATTCGGTTCTATGTTTTAGTTCTGATGCAAAAGATAGAGAGATCACCCGTGAACGACAATTGCTGAGTGAGAGGCAGAAGATTGTACAGCAAGAACATGAAAGACTGCTTGATGGAAAAGCTTCCCTGAATCAAAGAGAGGAGTATATTTTCAGTAGAACTCAAGAACTAAATCAACTTGAAAAGGAGTTGCAGGCTTCAAAAGCTGATATTGAAAAGGAACGAAGAGCTTTGAAAGATGAGAAATCCAACTTTGAGTTGACTTTAGTTTCTCTGTCAAAAAGAGAGGAGGTTGCATGCATATTTCATTTTCCCATAATAGTTTCTGATTTGGGGTGCTGTTTCATGTGAATTGTTGCTTTTACTTCATTGAAAGTCCTAATAGTTAAGCTCTTCTGTCGTTCATGCAGGCCATTATTGAGCAAGAAGCTTTGCTTAGCAAGAAAGAGAAAGATCTGCTTGTTTCTCAAGAGAAACTTGCAAGCAAGGACTTTGTGAGTTACTTTGTTGAGCACTGTTTAATATGTTCATTTTGTTTCTGTTTCTTTTACGGGAAATTTATGCTTTTCACTGAATGATGCAGGATGAATTTCGCAAGGCTATTGCCAGTCATGAAAATGCATTGAGAACCAGAAACTCCGAGTTTGAGGCTGAGCTTCAGCTCAGGCGCAAATTGGTGGAAGATGAGATAGAAATGAAGAGACGGGCAATGGAGTTAAAGGAGATGGATATTAATCATAAGGAGGATCAAATTTTTGAAAGAGAACATGATCTTGATGTTCGATTGAGGATATTAGCAGAGAAGGAGAAGGAAGTGGATGAGAAGTCAAATCTCGTGGATGTGAGAACTAAAGCCCTGAGAAGTGAGACGCATGAATTATCGTCTTTAGAATTAAAACTGAAGGAAGAACTTGATATGGTTAGGGCTCAAAAATTGGAGCTGATGGCTGACGTTGATAGGTTGGAAGTAGAAAAGGCAAAATTTGAAACTGAGTGGGAGTCGATTGATGAAAAGCGAGAAGAGTTGCAGAAGGAAGCAGCACGTGTTTGTGAGGAGAGAGAAGCAATTTCAAAGTTTCTCAAGGACGAGCGTGATAAATTGAGAAATGAGCGTGATATGATGCGAGAGCAGCATTATAAGGATGTAGAATCATTGAATCGTGAGAGAGAGGACTTCATGAAAAAGATGGCATCTGAGCATTCTGATTGGTTCCAGAAGATTCAACAAGAGCGTGCTGATTTCTTGTTAGGAATTGAAATGCAAAAGAGGGAGCTGGAAAATTGTATTGAGAAAAGGCATGAAGAATTGGAAAGTTCTTTCAAGGAAAGAGAGGAAGCATTTGAGCGAGAAAAGAAAAATCAACTTGATCATATTAATGCTCTAAAGGAAAATGTGGAGAAAGAGTTGGAACTAGCTACTCTAGAAATAAGAAGGCTTGATGCTGAGCGGTTGGAAATCAAGTTGGATCGTGAGCGAAGGGAACATGAATGGGCTGACTTGAACAAATCTGTTGAGGAGCTTAAGGTGCAAAGACACAAATTGAAGCAACAGAGGGAATTATTGCATGAAGATAGAAAAGAGATACATGTTGAGATTGAAGAGCTAAAAAAGTTGGGGGACTTGAAAGCTGCTTTGGATAACATGAAAGTGGCTCAAATGCAGCGGTCTATTCTTGAGCTTAGCCAGCATAAAGCATCTGAAAGAAGGAATCTGAAGCAGCAAGCTGTCGTGCAAAATGGTGAACCTGGTTCAGATAAAAATAAGGCTGTTGCTCTGAATGGCAATGGACTCAGCTCTCTGATTTCAAAACCAGATAATACTCCTAGCTCAGCCCATCTCTCTTGGATCAAGCGCTGCAGTGAATTGATATTCAAACACACTCCTGCCAAGGCCCAAATTAAGCCTGAAGAAAGATCTTCGATATCTGACCATGAAGATTCATGTTTGACGTCATCTGGAAGGAAAAGGAGAGTCGACAGCATATCTTCGAAGGACACTAAAAATAGTAGGCAAAAGAAAGAGGCTTCTGTAATTGCAGAGGATATTACTCTCTGGTATCCCCTTTTGTACTTGAATTGATTTGTTTTAGCATGTCCTTCCTTACAATGTCATTTTTTCCTTTTCAGTGTAAATTCCATTGAACCAAATACGGTGCTGGATCAGCAAGCGTTGATGTCATACAACCAAAATCAAGGAGTTGATGAGACCAATGCGTTGATTGGTGATATAGTAGCTGATATTTCTGAAGTAATCCATGTAAAAGAAACTGTAGATGATTTTTCCAATCAAGGAAATATTCTTGGAAATGCTACAGGAGATGATGGTAAACCTGGAGAGCCCTTGGTGATGCAAAAAGTACATATGGGGAATGCTTCTCATGTTACCAAGCTGCTCTCTCAGGTTATTTCTGGTTGTACTTTTCTGCAGGTTTCTTTCATGCTGATGACTATCAACATTTTACTGGACTCTTATTTACAATGTGAACTCTTTGCTCTTTTTTTCTTTACCAATGCTGCATCTCCATTTTTAACAGTATTATTACCTGTTTTTGAGCAAGTTAATAAATTTTCTCATGGTAGGTATACAAATGGGTCAGACAATTTTATACTTCCATCTTGTTTCTTGTAGGAAGCGTTCTGTGGCATTTAGTCAGCACAAAATCACTCATCTTATTGCTGTTTATCTTAATATATGCTTTATGACACGCTTTCCTTCAGTCTTTATTCTGTATCCCTAAGGTTCATGCAATTTTTGATTCTGCAGCCAATGGAAGGCAAGTCAGAAAAAGATGAACAGAATGTTGAAGATGATGTTGCTGCCGAACCAGATGAGGATGAGAAAACCGAATTGAGGGCAGGGCTGAAGCAGTTGTTATAGCAATATAATTTCCTTTTCATCTGCTAAAGTCGATTGATGTTTTAACTATTTTGCACAAAGGTACTCTTTTTCATTCCTGTCTTGCATCCTTGTCTTGTGTGAAATCATGGATAATAGAAAGTGATGAATCCTTGAATTTGAAGCTGCCTTCTAATCAATCCTTTTGGTATATTGCAGAAGAGCAGAAGTGGCTAGTATATACTCGAGAAGGATAAATTTGCAATCAGCAAAGTATTTTAACTAACTTGGATCGTGTTAAATAAAAAAAACTTGTAAATGCTTGTTCATCCTCTTTTTTCTTTTGGCGTTGGTTTTTGTTTAGTAGATGGTTTTGTGATATTTTACTGGTTTGTGTAGAGTGGTGGTGGTGGTGGTGTGATAGGTTTTGGTTGAGAGAGAGTTGTGATGGTTTGATGGATGATACGAATGACAAAATCTATAAGATTTTGAGGGAAGTTTGGTGTGGTGTTTGAGATTTGTTGGGATGTATTGATGCTTTTTTTACTCCATCGTACACCTGAATCTAATGGGGCTTGTTTTAGTCGACCTCAAACTGTGAAATGTTGCAATTACTATTACTACCACTACTATTATTATAGGGTTGATAATGTATTTTATGCTGAAAAGAGAAAAAACTGGAGGTCATTTCTTGCTTAAAGGTGGCACTTTAGGTTATATTAGTAGGCCTCGGAACTAGGCATGTGGAAATTTTTGAAGATTTTAAATGTGGAGAAAGGACTTTATAAACTAATATGAGATAAGTATAAAGTAATATCGATTTAAAGATAACTCTCAATCATTTAATATTGAACGGTTATTACTTTTGATATTTTTGGTGCTTAAACTTAAGATAAATAACAATAATATTTTTATCACCGAGATTATTTGATTTGTGTATATATATATATATATATATATGTGTGTGTGTGTTTTTATGCATTTGTACTTTAACTGTTAAGTGAAAACTACGTATCTAGAAACGTTCACTTTACAGATTTCTTGGAAGCAACTATTGGTTCAAAAGCTTACGTAGCTGGTGATGACTTTGAAATAAAATGAAAGCAGATTTTAGCTTTTATTCAGGTCTAAACCTCCACAATTGGTTGAAAAATGTTATACGAGTACGTGAAAGAAGGAACTAAAGGAGACAATTGTTTAAATATGCGTAAATTATTCCTCGATAATCATGATCATCCATGGTGGTAACTGGTAACTCAATTTTTTTACAAGTGAAACTATATAGACTGCATGTAAATCCCGCACTGACTGACTGCAGTTTCTCTCTCTTTGTTTGTCTACAAATTAAGAAATTAATTTAAAGAATTGTTATGTATTTTCGGAAGGATCAATCAACCATGTGTTCCCACTAGGTTAAAAATATTATAGCTTTCACCGTTCGTCTTGCTCCCGGTCATGGGAACGGAACGATATCCGGGAAATCCATTTCTCGATGTGGGACTCATTTCTCAAGTTTTTCAGCTCTTGGTAGCTCTTGTTGTTACCGATAGCGATGGAATTAACGAAGGATTTTAGCCTCTGCATTTCGCGTTTCAGGGTGTCTTCCGACATGTTTGCGAAACAAACCCGGAACCACCCTGGTTCACTGCAATGGCACGACGAACCGGGAGAAATGTTAAGTTTTTCATCGTAAAATATTTTTTTCCAAAGCTCCATTTCAGTTTCGAATGTGTTGGAACTCAACAGGTGCCTCGTATCAACCCAACAGAACAACCCGGCATTGCTTTCTAAGCAGCCGATACCAGTTTTTTGGAGGCCGGAAACCAGCTTCTTCTGTTGCTTTTGAAGCCTCTTCCGGTTTTTGGCAATGTAATATTTCCTAAACTTCTCGTCGGATAACATAACCGAGAGAAGATACTAGAGTTTGGGAAGAAACTAGGCCAAAGCTGGACATTTTTTGGCGGCGGCTACGACAGTGGGATCATTGAAGTAAATTACACCTACTCGAAAACCTGGGAGACCCAGATCCTTGGAAAGACTTCTGTTTTCTCGAGGTTTCTGTCTTTCAAAACTTCCATGATACTTACGAAGCATGGGGAGCTAAAAACAGTTCCCGAGTATAGTTCGTCGCTTATTAGATGAATTTCTTTGTCAGTAATGAAGTTAATGAGAAGGTCCAGTGCAGCTCTTTTCATTGTTGTGCCCAATGGATTTGGAGGGTTGGTGATTAAGATCCCTTTTCTGTTTGTGTGCTTGTTGATAAGCTTCTTCAATGGCGGATTCAGTGATTTGGAAACGGTTACAATCTTAGCCCCAGTTTTCCACTTGAGATCTCCGTTAAATCTGTGAATATATCATTTATTAGAACGTAGTCATTTCATGCATTAAATTAAGCATTTTTCTTTCTTTCTTATTAGTATTAACATACCCTGAGTAATATGGTGTAGGAAGAAGAAAAGCGTCGCGTTGTTCAGCGAGGCAAAAAATGAGGGTTTCATTGGCAGAAGTTGCACCGGCAGTTAGGACTTAGGACTATGTGATTTAGATCGAAAGTTACTTTGTTTCCTCTGATTTCAGCCATGAAATCAACCAATGCCTGTTGATGATAATACGAGTTCATCAAAAACCAAGAAATACTATCGTTTTTTATGTCATAAAATGATTAGATTTTTTTAGGTTTTAAGCTTACGTTTTTGAATGCAGGAAGGCCATGATAATCTTGGAAAAGAGCAAATTCTCTGAAAATGGATTGCTCGTCTCTCTTTCACCAAACAGCATCTGGGTTTTTGGCCAACCATGACTCAAGAATATCATAGGAGAGCTGCGAAAATAAAACTTGAAAAAGATTGAATGTTTAACAAGAAGAGATTCCATTTTCTGGGTTTTTGATAGTTACCTGATTCTCAGCAAGACCCATTTGAATGATTCCTTTGGGATTGTAGAGTTGATGGTAAGGGGTTTTATCATATTCCTGCCATCCTAGGAAGTAAGAAGAATCTTGGCCATTAGAGTTGCATGTGACTTTTCTCGACAACAACTCCATTTTCTCTTGTAACCCAACAAAAAGTAAAAGATTCATTGTAGTAAATAAAATGATAGCTTTGTGTTTATTGTTGAAAAGAAAATGATGAAATGCAGAAAAGCTTTGAGTGTTGTTGTTAATGGCGATCGATTGGCCTGCCCTTCGGGTATATATACAAGTCTTAAAAGTAAAGTTAAAATTAAACTATAAAGTACTTTTAAAAATGAGGAAAAAAACTAGAAAATACTTGTAAAAAGGGGGAAAACTATAAAATAACGGGACTGCCCGACCCCATAAAGTCAATGCTGAGTTGGACTCGATTGTTTGCAACTGTGGTCGATTCGATACGTTCCTTTCCTCTTTTGTGTCCATCTCGCGTGTGATCTCTAATTGGCTAGCCAAGTACCAAGTCTAAACCCATGGAAAGCCTCAAGTGGCGCGACCTTAATATACATTAAAAAAGAAGCTGATTTTATTATTATTTTTTAATAAAATTAATAAAAAATTATTGAAAAAATTATTATTTATGTCGATTTATTATTATTGGATTCTTTTTCGATTTTGTTAACATATCCAATAAAACGCTAATATTTTTATTATTATTAGACACTTTACTAAAAATATTAAAAAATATTAATATTTTAAATAAAAATAATAATATTTTAAATAATATTTTATCAATTTTATTAAAAAAATAACAAAACTAATAACATATTTTGTAAACCTTAAAATCGAAACATGTTGGAACTTCCTAAAGCCCAATAGAAATCTTCTTCTCCTTTTTGCTTTTTTCTCTATCCTTTAATTTAAAATTATGACACGTGTTCTTTTCAATAAATTGTTTTATACCTTATTTGTCTGTAAAAAGTCTTATTATTATTTTTATTTACGTTAAGTTATAATTTATAAAATGATTTTTTTAATAAAATGATTTTTTCATTTTATAATTTATATATATAAATCATGACTTAACATAAATAATAATAATAATAATAATAATAAACATTTTTACAAACAAACAAATAAAGTATAAAACAATTTGCTCAAAAGAACACGAGTCATAATTTTAAATTGAGAGGTGTAGGGATTTCATTCGTCTAAATCCTTTCCATTGCTGACAAGTAACATGATATTTGCATTTTAGTACATGGATCAATAGGGGTCGAAATAGGACAGGTTAGGCTTTAAAAGGCTTAAGTCTGACCTACGATAAATTTTTTAGGTATGAATCTAGCCTATAGTCAATCAAAAGTTTTTATTTTTGATTTGATCTGACCTTTTTAAAAGTATGTTTCACATTAAACCTTTAATATTCCTTTGATAGTTATTTTTATCAAAAAAAATAACACACCGTCTATAATAGGCTAAACAAGCCCTTAATATATAATTTGACTTAATTTTTAATCTAACGTTAATTTAGTTGGACACATATATATTGGTACCCAAAAAAATAATATAAGTATTGCAAACATTAATTTTTGTCTCCCATACTTGTCTGCATAGTACCCAAGGTCAGCACCATACCTTGCTGTTCCCGACGCCTGCACTAGCACACCATCAAATGTTGTTGCCGCCTATACTGTGTTCATGCTCCACTTTTGTTGTTATTTCTCTTTGTTTGTAGTGGATATATAACTAAAAAACAAATGAAGCAATGGTGGGGGCTCGCTCATGAGAGATAATTGGAGGGGGAGAGATTGAAGAGAAAAAGAAACAGGGGAGAGGGGATTAGATTAGTTTTAGGGTTAATGACCTTCTAGACCCTATAATTTAGCCAAATATTTTCAGTTTAGTCACTAATTTTAGAATAAAATCCCTATTAAGTCACTCTAATAAGTATATATACATATATATATATAGGTCGGCCTATCAGGCTTATAAAGCTTTTTAATAAGCCTAAGCCTGGTCTATTTAATTTAATAAGCTTTTAAAAAAGTCCGAGCCTAACCTTTTTATTAAATAGACTAGGTCAGGCCAGACTTTATGTAGGTCAGGTCGTAGGCCCCTGTAGGTCGGCCTGGCCTATTCCGACCCCTATGGACCAACTGTTGTATATGTGTAAAATTTTCCACAACAACGTAGGCCCCTCTCCAATCCTCCATGAATGATACATTTGTCTCTTAATGACATTAGATTAAAAACCAATATCAATAAGCGAGAGAGGTCAACTAAAACCATAGATACACGCTGAAGCCATTGCTAGATATATCTAGCTAGGTCTAGTTGAAGAAAAACATAACACGTAAAATTTATGAACCAGGCAAATATCATAAAGGTGATGATAAAAAAAAATCCATTTTGATTAAAGTCTTGGCATGGAAGAAACACATTAGTTATCTAAAGAAAATTAGGAATTCAAGTCGTGGAAACATTGAACTATGTAAGAATTTCAAAGGTATAGATGTTGGGTTTTTCGTGTGTAATTGAAGGGTTATGGTTTCTAGGAATTCTAGATCAAATTTGCATGCAAAATTTATATATAAATAGGAGGACTTATTATTACGTATTATATTAACTATTCAAATTCGTTTTCTTGAAGCTTAAAAATGGCTTGGACGGTTCTTATTCAAACTGTTGTAATAAGATTTACGAAAAACTTAGTGTTCAAGTGATGTGATGTTCCTTTTTCTGACAAATTAATCTTATTAATTTGAATAAAACAAAAATGACAAGAACCAGACTAAAAAAAAAGGACGGCTTGAAGGATTTTTCAAATAAGAAAAGAGGAAGAGGAGGGGGCCAAGTCTTCGAAAAGGTAAATAACAATGGATATCATTTAAAATTTATTCAGAAAGAAATAATATACAGTACACACGTATTGTAGTGTAGGCATCAGCACGAGTCAAGTCGGATAACAGTGATAACATATGCGTATGTGCTCATCTTCAATCTTTTAATTAATATATATTTTTAAAAAATAAATATCTCAACAATATAAGATATAATAATATAAAAAATAAAATTATATTATATAAATATTAAATATAACCTCATTAAGCGAACGAAGACCTATACTCATATTGTCCAACCCTATACTAACATGTATTTACGACACATAATAAAATAAAAATATATGTTTATTAATATTTAATATTAATATTTTATAAATAATAATAAATTTTTTATTGTTAATACAATATTTTTGACTCGATTTAAATTAACTTTTATTTATAAATCATAGTAAATGTTTTTTTTTCCAGAAAATAACTTACACCCTTAGAAAAGAAATGTCAATTTATTTTAATTTATTAAAACTGTAACTGATTTTACATTGCCCTGTAAGTTATTTTTCCTTAATCAAGTTTTTAATGAATTAAACACAAATTTTGTGAAAGTCATTTTCAGTTTCAATATCAAGGATTGTGAAGGAAATAGTGGACTGATTTTTTAGCAGTTCATCCCAGACCCGATTCTTATATAGTGACTAGACTGCACAGTCCATAAGATCTCGGCTCAACAGGTTAGATAAGTGGATCTTGTTTTTAATTTCACGTTTTACAAACAAGCACGAAATCAAATGAAAGATGCAGGACACGCGATAACAAATAGAAATAATTTTACTACACCTGAGAGACAAAAGTAATGGAAATTTGATCTTGATGAATTTCTCTTTGCATTAGTGGTATGGTTTTAGGTGGAACACTTGACAAGCTGGAAGGTATGAACTCTTTGATGCAGCCTGCTCAAACTTCTTAGTGGCGCTTGCATTTTCTTCTAAACTATTTTGGTTGAAAAGTAGAACCCACCAAGTGGAACTCCGCATTTTAGCCTTCAAGTACAGAACATATATGTTAGTGATAAGGTCAACTTGGCACATTGTCGTCCGTGTTTAGTGATATGATTCTGAAACGAAACAAAAATGATAACATGGCTTATTTTGATCACATTAAAACTGCCTCAACAATCTGACATGAATATGATAATATCCAAGAAATTTGATCTTGACGCATTCCGTGAAACGAAAATGCTGAGTGACAATTTTGATCAGATGAATGTTAAAAGATATGATATGGCTTATTTCAATTCAAAATTCCGTTGTTTTAAGTAGCAGATAGAGACTTACTGGCCGCCCGAATTTGGATAATTCTGCCACTTTAGCCTTCTGATGACCAGGGGAACCTGATCCACAAAATGAAAGCAATTAAATTTGAATATACTAAAAGAACTGATCAAATATGCTAAGGGGTAAAGGCTGTGCTGAATCTCCCAACTTGATGAAGAAAACCAAGAGACCATGTACCTATAGCCTCTAGGAAAGTTTCTAAGTGGTATAACTTCTCCAGACTGGTAATTAAGTGCCAGTGTAATGAAGAATTGTCTAGCATCTACCTTATTGTAATAATTCATATACATTTAGTGCAAGCAAGTGTAGGCGTCCGAATGGTGTACCAAGTCATAGCAGAAAAGGAACCAGAGAAAGATAAAGTTTCAACATATTAACTTTTCTTGGAAGGCTATGGGGTTACTCATGCAGTGTTACAGAGACAAACGTCACTGTAATTACTCCAGAAACAATTTTCATTTACAAAACAGTTATTTCATGAGCAAATATATCTGGATATATACACTTCCACTGCCCGAGTAATTCTTAATTTTATAATTTATAAGTAACACGAACGTGGATTTACCTGCAAAAATAAGTAGACCATCAGAGGCAACCCTTGCAAATTCAGGCAGAGTCTTGTTCAGGTACTTTGGAGACAAGTAATCAACAGCGTCTGACACAATAACAAGAGAAAATGACTTTGACCTATAGGGGAGAGGGAACTTGATATCTGCCACACGTACAATGCCTTTGCCCACGAGACTCTTGCAGTCTGGTGCAACATCCTCTATGTCATATGGTTCCACACCCCAGGATTCAGTTCCCTCTTCTTTCAAAAGTTTGGAGACCACTGAACAGGTATCAGGGCCTACATGCAGAACCTTGTGCATGTTGTCACCATAAGCCTTCTTCAAATATGGTATTGCCCTCTGAACTTCAAGCGTGCATGTATATTCACCTACAAAAATAACAAGAATTAATTGATTTTCGGACTGTTACACTCGTACCCTTTTTTGGAGCATGGCAATTCCATTATAACTACACTTCAAATGTTCCAGTTATCACGGAACATGCAAACCATGTCTGACTAATTACCACCGATAAATTATAATCCCCATAATTCTTCAGGTCATAATCAAATGAAAAGGAGGACTAACTTTTTGGATCCTACCTTATCTTTCATACTTTTTACCTCTAAATAGCACAGAAGGAGACGATCATGACAATTGGTAGGAGATCAGTCAATAGTAAAACCCCCATAACAATGAAATGCGGAAGCAAGGCCATAGTCTTACCAAACGACCATATTTATATGTTACAGAAACATATGTGCATTGAATCTTAACTAAATTTTATATAACACGAGAACTCATCCTCAATTTATGCAACTAACGATTAACCATGTCCAAATCCACTCTCCCAAACGTAGCATTAGTGAATCCGCTAAATATTAAAGTAGTTCCAAAGAGACGTGATGACAATATACTCATCAAATGAAAATGAAAATAGTAACCTGACAAGTTAATTTCATTGCAAACATCAATCTAATGAGGAAGAAAGTAAAATATAATTTACCTTCGAGCCGACTGACTCCACCAACTCGGGATTTACCTGTATCCACCCAAAATGAACAGTCAATTGGTTGTACCAATAACATTAGCATATTGATCAACAAAGCGATTAACCCCAAATAAGAAATTCCACTAACATGGAAGTACCTGAACCACTATAGACGTAGCCAATTAGAAGGATAGCTCCCTGGAAGTTAATTTTTCAAAAAAAAAGAAGGAAATTATTACCACAGTTAATTTATTTTAAAAAAATAAAAGAAAGGGAAGGAGATCGATGTACCACAATGACAAGAGCAATAGACAAAATGGGAGAAGATCGGGATTTAGAATGCAAGGCACCAGATAAGGGGAAGTTTCCGCTGTCGACAAAGCGGCGCGTGGCACTTACTTGCCTCCTTGACATGTTATTCTTTACACTGTATCAAACAAATAACAGATTTAAACAAAATTTCAACCTTTTTCATTGAAAAAAAAACATCGTTAAACAAACAAAACGGGAAATGAAGAGCAGATCCAGAGCATGAAAGAGCTTTGAATATAAAGATGAAATGGAAGGAAAAATGAATCAAAAGCGAAGAGAAGAGAGAATGGGAAATTCACCTTGAGAAAAGAAATGAAAAAAATTGAATATTGGATCTTAGATGTGTTTTCGCAGTTTGGATTTAAACCATTTATGATTTATGGTAAAATGGAAAATATTAACAACTGAACGAGTTTGAACGGGACTTGGACCGCATACGATTACGAAGTGGCAGTATTTTCTACTAATTAATTAATTTAATTTTGTTATGCTTAAAGTTAAGATCCGCATCTGAGCGGCGCGGCCTTTGTGAACACGGACACTGACATATACAGTTATTAGCGTGTCGGTGGCGACATATTACTTCGTGGATTATTTTATCAGAATAATATTTGTTTAAAAATTAATTATATAGATGCTATTTAAAAAATCATCAAACAATTGATTTAATAAAATGAAATATTAAATTTTTAAGTAAGATTAAAAGTTTAAGTATTGATGTTTGTGAATGAAGTAAATTAGACTTGAATGATTGTCTTTATATTAAGTCATTCTAATATTCAATCTAAATTAATTAATTAATAAATTAGATATGAATGATCATAAAAAATAATTTAAAAAAAATTATATTTATTTCAGTTACAAGATAAAAAATATTTACATAGAAGTGTTTTACTAAAATATTTTAATTAAATGTATATTTGTCCTATATGAAAAAAGAATTCGAGGCATACACTTATATTCTTGACTTAGAAGGAGTTCAGTTTTAGCTATGAGCAAGTGCATTTAGTTATCAAGTTGTCAATTTTTATTTTTTATATTTATTTAAGTCACGAGTTTTAAATTTATTAGTACTTCTCTTCTTACTTCTAATTTTTTTTCCTTTTCTATTTTATATAAGATTATAATTAAATTTAAATTTTATAAAAAGAAAACAAAAAGAAGAAATAAGCTACAATGATATTAGAATCACTTTGGCAACTCTAATCTCATCAAAAGGATTCGAGACACATTCATATTTTCTTCTCGACGTATGATTTTACTACCCGGCCATTGTAGGTTAGTTGTGCAAGGATTAATTTGAGGACTAATTTAGAATGCTAGTTATAATTTAAGGATTGAAATAATTAAAAATTTAAAGATCAATTTAAAATGAGTGTCATGATTTGAGAACACATGATGTAATTAACTCTTATTGTTATTATCTTCATCTTTATAAGTTAATGGGTCCTCTGCAAGAACAAAACTTACTAACCACAACTTCCTTTAACCCATTTAAACCAACCTATTAAGTGTTCAAAGTGCAGTGACACAGACCACCCTTTTGTTTATTTTTGAATTAGTGTCAAGAATGATTTAAAACTTTGGGTTTTTTCATTATAAAGGAGTTAAAGAAATAACCGAGTCTAGAGGCAGAGGCCATGAGAGGTAAAAACGTTAGCAATATCCGTTGAGTTTAGTGGGCATTCAAGCATTTTCATAACTCGGTAAATTTTAGTGGCACTGAACTCTTTTTTAACAAACAACTTAAACAATCATCAAAGTTCCACTTAGAAGAAGAAAATTGGAAAAAAAACTTTTGACTTTGAAACAATCACTTGACGTGAAAATCAGAGACCAAGAGAGCAACAACAATGACGGAACAGTTTCAAAACGTCTTGTTCAGTTGTATAATGGCCTGGGAAAACATGCAACATAACATACACTTATCAATCATAACTCTAAAGCCAGGAAGTGGTAGTTTAAGCTTTTCATCTTAGGTGCTGAAATGCTGAAGCTAGGAGGAGCTCGATATATTGCTGGAACTGTGGCTGGGAAGAACATTTGCCTCACCCCCTCTGCCCTTATTATGGGGGAAATAATTCCAGTGCACTCTGCAGAATGTTGGGAAAATGTTGAGCACTAAGAGAGAACAATCAACAGCATAAAGGGTTGAAAATTCATACCAAAATTAACCTAGCTCCAATCCATATTTCATACATGGTTTTGCTTTGAACATAATTTTGCTTCAATTTTTTTCCGAAAAAACAAGTATGCTTTAGTTCTTGTTTGTGATTTTTCTCTTCAAAATTCCAGATTCTTTCGATGTTTGTCCTTACATAATTTGGATTGTTTTGAATTATCGAATTAAGTTGAAGCATAATAGGGGATTAGCTTGAGTAGTTGAATTCTTATTTACTACACACTGGTTGATTACTCTTGATGATTGATTGAATGAAAAATGTGTGGGATTTGATACATGTTTACCCTTTTTGTGAGTTTTTGGGCCAATGAGCAGTCAGTTTCAGCATGCTCCATTTCTTGATTGAGTGATTGCCATAAATAGTTAATTTTTCTAGAACTTCCTTTGCTATACATGTCGAAGACCACATTTTAGAATTGGATGCATCAAGAACGATAAGTACATTTAGGTGAAACCACTTTTAGCTTTCGTAAAGAGCCTACCCTGATTATCATCCTTAGAAAGCCAATTTTGAGCCTGAGCCTTTTTGTTTGAAATTAACCATGGTAAAAGTAAATATTAAATCATTTTTGTTAATTTCCCCTCTTTTGAACCTTGAATTGGAGGATTATATGAGCTTCTTCACATGAGAATTCAAATTATCTTGAGAATATCAGAAGATGTTGGAATATAGTGATTCGAGTTGCAATCTCTTTCAGTGAAAAAAAACAAAAAAAAAGAGAAAAGAAAAAAAAGCAAAATTGTGCAAAGGAAATAAAGAAAGAGAGATTCTGCAATGAAAAAAAAAGTTATATAAATAGTAAAGAAGTAAAAGAACAATGAAAATTATTTAGATCTCACAATCCTTGAAGAACCAAAACTTCAATTATCCTTCAGTTGGAACAAAAGTATTTAGCTACTCATAATTAAAAGAAAACTAAAAGAAAATAAAGATGAAAACTTAATGTAAAACTTGATGATCCACTAATGAAAGCCCTAGCTCCCCTTTTATAAGGATTTTCCTATTATAGATAAGGAAGTTTCCCTTAAAGAAAATCCCACAAAAATAGGAGTTTTAAATACCCTCATCTTTTTCTAAAGATAAGAATAAATCAAAAGAGTCTTCCAGCCGTCATTAAACTATTTTTACTTTGTAAATTCGTAGCCCTAATTTAGGGTTACACGGACTAGTAAGACGCGCCCACGCCTTAACTGAAGACTTCTTCTGCGGTAGTTCAGGATGAGTAAGTCGTGCCCACGCCTTATGCGAAAACCTCTTCTGGTCTTGCCAACTTCTTGAATTCCGATTTTTCCTCCTTAATTTGGGGATTTTGTGAAGATCATGCTAATCATTAGATTTTGAACTTGTTTTATCCAAATCTTTAACCTAATCCACAAAATACGAAATATAATCAAAATCCATGATTTAATCAATTTTAGTTATTCAAATATGAGGAAAATATCATAGAATATATGTCTAATATGCATCTTATCAAATTCCCCCACACTTAAACCAATGCTTGTCCTCAAGCATACAATAGTTCAAATTCATAACTCTTCTCAACATCAATCATTCTTCTTCCTTTGCTCATCCTTCTACAATCAAAATTGTCATGCCTTAAAGAATCAAATCTAAACACAAGTAAGGAACGAGCAATTCGTAGAAGAAATTCTGATAAACCAAAACACATGAATAACCACTCCATCAATCTTTTCGAAATCAAAATGCAGTGGGATCTAATACCCTCACATTGGATTCACTCAATACGCTCGAAGTGTTTAGGGGTGTCAACAAACTCTCAAGCCAAAACATAGAAAATTTTTACCATAGGCTTGCTAACTTATCACATCCCCACCACTAGTCAATGAATTGAATGCATAAAAACCTCAGGGTCTTAAACAGGGTATAATGGGGCTTAGGCGAGGTTTGATAGAAAAGGAATTTAAGTTGTTTTATTGAAGGAGTCATACAAACTTATCCACATGTAACTCAATCTTCAAATGTTCTCTTCAAGCCATATAACTTTTTTTCATTGCACAATCTCTCTTTCTTTATTTCCTTTGCACAATTTTTCTTTTTTTCTTTTTCTTTTTTTTTGTTTTTTTTTTCACTGAAAGAGATTGCAACTCGAATCACTATATTCCAACATCTTCCGATCTTCTCAAGATAATTTGAATTCTCATGTGAAGAAGCTCATATAATCCTCCAATTCAAGGTTCAAAAGAGGGGAAATTAACAAAAAGGATTTAATATTTACTTGTACCATGGTTAATTTCAAACAAAAAGACTCAGGCTCAAAATTGGCTTTCTAAGGATGATAATCAGGGTAGGCTCTTTACGAAAGCTAAAAGTGGTTTCACCTAAATGCCCTTATCGTTCTTGATGCATCCAATTCTAAAATGTGGTATTCGACATGTATAGCAAAGCAAGTTCTAGAAAAATTAACTATGTATAGCAATCACTCAATCAAGAAATGGAGCATGTTGAAAGTGAGTGCTCATTGGCTCAAAAACTCACAAAAAGGGTAAACATGTATCAAATCCCACACATTTTTCATTCAATCAATCATCAAGAGTAATCAACCAGTGTGTAGTAAATAAGAATTCAACTACTCAAGCTAATCCCCTATTATGCTTCAACTTAATTCGATAATTCAAATCAATCCAAATTATGTAAGGACAAACATCGAAAGAATCTGGAATTTTGAAGAGAAAAATCACAAACAAGAACTAAAGCATACTTGTTTTTTCGGAAAAAAATTGAAGCAAAATTATGTTCAAAGCAAAACCATGTATGAATAACTCTCCCCCACACTTAATCCATACATTGTCCTCAATATATCAAAAGTAGATGCTCAAAAACCATAAAAAGGGTAAGAGTAGAAAACTCCCCTGAAAATATTGAGCATCAACCATGATATCTATCACGAGATGGGAGTGAAGGCGCTGTGCGTCAGCTGGGTTGATTCTCGGACTGAGCGGAGATGTGGGTCAGGTGGAGCGGAGAGGACGGTTGGTGGCACGCATTCTTCTGAAGGAGCACAAAAATAAAGAAAAGATGAGGCACGTTTATATTTGAATCTTGTTTCCTGAACCAGAAGTGGTGTTGAGTTTAGACGTGGGCACGTCTTATACAAAAACATCTTCTGGATAGTGAAAGACTTTAGGAATAATTCTGCTTTTGTAAGGCGTACCCACGGGTTACAAAAATTCATCTTCTGACCTAAAGAGGAAAACAAGAATAAT